AGGAAGGAAGGAAGGAAGGAAGGAAGGAAGGAAGGAAGGAAGGAAGGAAAGAGAGAGGGAGGAAGGAAGGTTGAAGGAAGGAGGGAAGGAAGAAGAAAGTAGAAGGAAGAAAAGGACAAAGGAGGAAGAAAGGAAGGAGGAAGAAACGAGGGACATAGAAAGAAGAAAAGGAAGGAAGTAGAAGGAAGAAAAGAAGGAAGGAGGGAGGGAGGGAGGGAGGAAGGAAGGAAAGAAGGAACTAGCCAGTCATCCCCAAATTTTATCCTCCCAGAAAACCATCTGTGTAATTTACAAAAATAATAATAGCCTCCTGTGACTCAACAGGACTGATTCACACACAAAGATGCATGAGATACTTGGTAGGATTTAATATGCTGACTTTCCTAATAAAGTGCTCGTGCTAGTGGCACTGATGATGTTACCTAGTTTGGCCAGTGAAACCTCTGCAAGGAAACCAGCAAGCGCAGAGAGCAGCACCAAGGACCCTTCACTGACTTTCCCGTTTGAGGTTTTAGATGGTATCCCTCTGTTAAATACAACAAAGATCCGGCTTGTAGGATTCTCCAGCCTGAATTTCATGTGGAGCTGTCCATGGTGCTAAGTTGGACCTCTCCATTTCTTCCCCAACCTCAATATCCTTCTCCTCCTCTTCCTCTTTCTCCTCCTCCTCCTCTTCCAACTTTGATCTTCTTATTTATCAATCAGGTTTGATAAATAGCTAGGAACTACAGGTAGTCCTCGGCTTACAACAGCTCATTTAGCGACCGTTCAAAGTTACAACGGCTCTGGGAAAAACGGCTCTTCTTTTTCCACGCATCCCTACGGTCTCGCGATTGAAATGCGGACGCTTGGCAAACCGATTCACAGTTACGATGGTCGCAGTGTTCCCGGGGTCGTGGGGTTCCCCTTTTGCAGTGAAGCAAGCCAGATTCATTTAACAGCCATACTCCTAATTTAAGAACTACAGTGATTCGCTTGACAACGGTGGCAAGACAGGTTGTAACATGGGACGTGAGGCCTCAGCTCCACCCTGACCTCCTCGATCCAGAAGGCCCAAAAATGGGGGGGCGGGGTGCTTCAAAAAAAGCCATGCCCACCTAGCCACGCCCACCTAGCTACGCCTTACAGAACCGGTAGTAAAAAAAATTTGAATTCCACCATTGTTGGGGACCCCTGCCCTAAGCAAATCGTCAGGCTGCAAAAACTGAGAAAGTCACATCGCGTTTCTTCTAAACGTTTTCTTTCTCAGTAAACGGAAATCTTTCGCAGCTGGGGCAAACTGCTTCCACCGTTAAATCTATACAGCGAGTCCTCGACTTACAACTTGTCGTGCTTAGGGACTTGTCGAAAGTGATGACAGACCTCCCCCAATGCTACAGGTAGTCCTCGCCATTTGTTTAGTGACCGTTCAAAGTTGCAACGGCGCTGGAAAAAAAAAAGGACTCGACTGTCTTTCCCACTTAATGGCTGTTGCAGCGTTCCCCGTGATCAGGTGAGCAAAGTTCATACTTATGACGGTTGCGGTGTCCCCTTTGGCGACCTTCTGACAAGCCAAGTCAATGGGGAAGCCAGATTCACTTAACAACCACGTGACTAACTTAACAACTGAAGTGGCTCACTTAACAACCGTGGTAAGAAATGTCATAAAGTGGGGAAAAAACTCATTTAACAACTACTTGGCAACAGAAATTTGTCACGTCAAAGACTACCTGTATTTAATGACCATATCAGGGAACAAAGGGATGAGGTTGTTAAGAACGGCAACCACATAGTCGCTTTTGTTAACAACTGTCCTGACTTGTGACCGTAACGGGCAGGTTCCATTGCAGTGGTGAGCTGAAGACTACCTGGGAACTGTTAGAGAGGAGCTATCTACACCCTCTTTCTCCCACACAAACTATCTAAACTTCACTCTCTTGTGCTCCTTTGGAATGGAGTCTCTCCCTTCTGGGGAATCCAGACCGCATTCCACTACACAAATGGGATGTACGTCTAAATACATCGGGCCTTTCCCCATCGGCAGAGTAATTAACCCAGTGACGGTGCAGTTAAAATGTCAGGACTGTCCTCCTGCTACTTGCCAGCCATACTTTGCCAAATGGCAGTATGTCAAAACAATGGCGTGAGGGAACTGCCGGAAATAAAGGGGAGGTTTGGATGAGGGGAATTGAAATTACTTTTTGAACATCCCGTGAGAGCCTCTGGCCATTCCAGCATCGTGGAACGGGATGTGAGACCATTCATCCCACCAAGCCAGGGATTGTTACCAAAACAATTGGTCTGAATGTAATTGGGCCCTTTAAGATAACCAAGGGAAAGGCAGGGAGAAGGGAAAAGTTAACCAGATGATTTGGGCGCGAAACTTCAGATCCGGCTTTGCTACTCTGCTTTGGGCGCAAAACTTCTGATCTGGCTTTGCTTCTCTGCTTTGGGCGCAAAACTTCAGATCTGGTTTTGCAACCCTGTAACCGCTTGGCTTTAGTAAAGTGTACTTTCCTTAACAATGGATTCAAGAGTCTTTCTTTTCTAACTCACCAGGTTGGGACAGCTGACAGGCCGGCCACACCCTCTTTTGGCAGCCATTTTGTGGGTGCATCCGCAGCGCAGAATTTCAAAATTCCCCAAATATCCCATCTCAAGGACTTCTGATCCACCTCTCCCAGTAACATTTGAGCCTTCAATATTCTGAAGGGAATTGTCACTATTTCTATTTTGTGTGTTTTAGGTTGGATTGCAGGTCAGGTGAGCTAAATAGAACAGGGTGAGCCGTGCGTGGCCAACAGCAAGTTAAGGCGGCCAGGAACGGGAAACCCAAAAGGAACAAGAAAAATGTGTATCTAAGCTTCAGAAAAGACGGTTATATTTGAACATGAGGATGTTGTCGGTATGCCAGGGACAGGCAAGGCAGATCTGATGGAGGGGAGTGGGAGGCAGGCAGGCAAAGGAGGAAGGAAGGAAGGAAGTATACAATCTGGATCCTTCTTGGCAACGTTGGGATAGGGTTGAAGTACCCAGAGGATTTTAAATCACAAACTGGCATTTTTTTTCTTTGAAAAGCTCCTGGGACAATGTCCAGCTGGAATATTTATTTATTTGTTTGTATCCGCCTTTGTTATTTTTACAAAATAACTAAAGGCAGCAAACATATCCTCCTATTTCCCCACAACAACAACCCTGTGAGGTGGGTTGGGCTGAGAAAGAGAGACTGGCCCAATGTCTCCCAGCTGGCTTTCATGCCTAAAACGGGATGAGGGGCTCGCCTTCGCACAGCCTGCCAAATCAAATTTTAACCAAGGTTTATGGAATAAATCACCTTTGGTGGCTTCGAACGAACCAGATTCATTACAAAACTTGGTTTAAACACCAGAAGACCTGGGTTTATAAAATACCCTTTGGGACAAATATGCATCCAATTTTTTAAAAAAATTAATGTAATTTAATTATTTTATCTTACCTTATTTTATTATTTTATCTTATCTTGTAGGACAGTGGTGGCTAACCTTTTTGGGCTCCTGGGCCAAAAATTGTGTGCGTGCTTGCGCTTGGGTGCTCACGTGCTCGCGTGCCAGCACCCACAAGGCAATGCACCTCCCACCCATGCGACCTGCGCATTTTCGGCCTCCCAGAGGCTTGAGGAAAGCCTCGGAAGCCTCTGCAGCCCAAAAAAGAGGCCCGTTTCATCACTTCCTGTATAGGAAGTGACAAAATGGGCCTATTTTTTGGGCTGCAGAGGCTTTCCTCAAGCCTCTGGGAGGCCGAAAAATCAGCTGTGAGGTGCACGCATGCGCAGTGAGGTAAGTTTGCCTGCGGCTCGCATGCCGGCACAAATGGCTCTGCGTCCCACCTGTGTTATGCATGCCATAGGTTCACCATCACGGTAATAGGAAGTCCTCGACTTAATAGTGATTCAGTGACCCGTTCAAAGTTACGCCACTGGAAAAAAAGGGACGTATGACCATTTCTCACACTTATGACCACTGCAGCATCCCCATGGTCGTATGATCAAAATTCAGATGTTTGGCAAACCGGCTCATATTTATGACCGTTGTGGTGTCCTGGGGGTCACATGATCCCCTTTTGTGGCCTCCTGACCAGCAAATTCATAGGAAAGTCAGATTCACTTAACAACCTTGTTACTAACTTAACAACTGTGATGATTCGCTTAACAATTGTGGCAAGAACGGTCATAAAATGGGGCAAAACTCACTTAACAACTGTCTCGCTTAGCAATGGAAATTTTGGGCTTAATTGTGGCCATAACTCGAGGACAACTTGAATTTCATTTTATTTATTTACATGTTGCCCATCTCCCTGTCGAGCAATTTTGACTCAGCCTGAGACGTCACTCTTTCTCTCGGCCCTTCCCGTCAATGGCTAAATTTCCATTCGAATCTGTTCAGATCTAAATCTACCCATTTCCTTTCATTTCTATCTCGATCCGACCCAAATTTCTTTCACTTTATATTACACTAGCTGATAACCCGGTGTTGCCCGGGTATTTATTTATCTTAATCCTATATTAGACAGGAAAAGCCCTGATTTCAGCAACCTGGAACAAACATAATTTGTAATGTTGGATTTTCCCCCCCTTAGCAGAGAGTGCCCCCTTGTGGAGTACTGTGAAACCGTTACCATGGCAACTCCACAGCACTGTGCAGTAGAAGCCATTTTATGGCAGTACAGTAGAAGCCATTTGAAGGCACAATAGGCTGTATCTTGAACACACACCCTGAAGGATGTTAGGAGTGTCTTACCCCCCTCAGTATTTGTTTTCAGAAAATAAGTAATCTGTGTACCAAGTTTGGTTGAAATTGCTCGAGACGTTCCAGAGCTATGCTGGAAATATACATAGATTTCAGTCTCCTGCATGGCACAGTAGGTGCCCGAACTTTGCAAATCAGAGTTTAGGAGACCTGACAGAAGTAGTTTCCTCACCCACCCCCAACAGGCTGATCCAACAAAAAATAAGGCGAGATGACAACTACCTCCACGGCTCTCGCTGTCAGCAGGTTTCACCTGGATCGGCCGGGCCATCTGCAGAGAAATGGCAAAGGTTAGATGTCGCAGTGCTACAGAAAGGCTAAGCAAGCGATTTTGTATTTTATTTTTGGGGTAATTTGTGAGAAGGATAGCAGGAGCAATGGGGGCCCGAAATAAAACACTACGGGTCAGAATTTCCAGAATACTTCCAGGCTTCTACTGCCCCGTTGCAGGATACTCCGTTCCACACCTCCGCGGCTGCCACAAAGAAGAGGGGGGGGGCAGCGTGCGGGGGTGTGTGTGTCAACCTATTCTGCAGAAGCACCTGAAAGCAGAACGTGACGCAACGGAGGGAAACCCGTCAAGGAGAAATCCGACCTAGAAATAAGGAGACATTTTTTTAAAAATAATAGAATAATATTCGCAGGTTTCGATTTCGACAGCGGTTTGCTCTCTGAGGTAAATTAAGCGAAAAACTCTTTAGCTAAGGTATAAAGATTAGGGCAAGACATTTTCTATCAAAGTCCTGCTTTTGGTTACATAGCCTGGTAGCAAAACTTTTGGGAACGAAATGGCAAGCTCGGGAAAGCAAACCGTTGCCAAAAAATAAGGAGAAATTTCCTGACCGTGAGAAAAACTTGCCTCTGGAAGTTGTGAATGCTCCAACACTGGAAGTTTTTAAGAAGATCCTGGGTAACCATCTGTGTGAAATGGGAAGGTGTCTCCTACCTGAGCAGGGGGTTGGACTAGAAGACCTCCAAGGTCCCTTCCAGCTCCGTTATTCTGTTCCTTGTTTATTTGGTTGATCTCGCACAGTACATATATATCCATTACAGCCACAGACATTAAAATCCTGGCACCCAAATTAAGCCGCCACATGCAATTGAACTCTACGCTGAGAAAGCTGAGTTTTGCGTGCTGGTCTAGGAATATAGCAAGGAGGAATTTGATTTGATTTGAATGGCATTTAGCATTTCCTAAGCAAACTCGTATTTTTGCAATAGCCATAAGATGTTATGCGTTCACAATTCCTTCCAGGAATTCACGGGAAACCACTAGATAATTGTTGATTTGGTCATCGGTAAAGGAACATCTTCCTTAACTGGGTGAAGTATCTGGCCGTAGAGTCTGGATTTCACTTATCTTTCACCTTTTATGAAACTAAATTTAGAGGGAGGGAAAGAAGGAAGGAAGGAGGGAAGGAGGGAGGGAGAGAAAAGGGTAGGGATAGGAGGAGTAAGGGTGGGGAAAGAAGGAGGAGGGAAAGAGGGGAAGGAGGAAGGAAAAGTGTAGTTTTGGAGGTGGAGGTGTAACATGGGGGAGAAGGAGGAGGAGAAGGAAGAAAGGAGGGGAAGAGGGGAGGAGAAAAGGGGAAGAGGGGAAGAAGAAGGAAGGAAAGAAAGAGGGAAAAGTATAGGGATAGGAGGAATAACATGGGGAGAAGGAGGAGGGGAAGAGGGGAAGGAGAAACGGGGGAAGGGGAAAGAAGAAGGAAGGAAGGAAGGAAGGAAGGAAGGAAGGAAGGAAGGAAGGAAGGAAGGAAGGAAGGAAGGAAGGAAAGAAAGAAGGAAGGAAAAGTGTAGGGATAGGAGGAGGAAGTAAGGTTGGGGGAGAAGGAGGAAGGAGGAGGAGGAGGGGAAGAGGGGAAGGAGGAAACAAGGAAGGGAGGGAGGAAGGAAGGAAGGAAGGAAGGAAGGAAGGAAAAGTGTAGGGATAGAAGGAGGAAGTAAGGTTGGGGGAGAAGGAGGAGGAGGAGGGGAAGGAGGAAACAAGGGAGGGAGGGAGGGAGGGAGGGAGGAAGGAAGGAAGGAAAAGTGTAGGGATAGAAGGAGGAAGGAAGGTTGGGGGAGAAGGAGGAAGGAGGAGGAGGGGAAGAGGAGAAGGAGGAAACAAGGAAGGAAGGAAGGAAGGAAGGAAGGAAGGAAAAGTGTAGGGATAGGAGGAGGAAGGAAGGTTAGGGGAGAAGGAGGAAGGAGGAGGAGGAGGGGAAGGAGGAAACAAGGAAGGGAGGGAGGGAGGGAGGGAGGAAGGAAGGAAGGAAGGAAGGAAGGAAGGAAGGAAGGAAGGAAGGGCCAAAGACATTTTATTGTGACTTAGTGACACAATCTGGTTCAAGGGAATAAAGAAGAGAGGAACAGTCATTTTACTGGAGAGAGGAGGAGGGGGAAAAATGTTTAGCATTCATGTACAACCCAGTAATTTGGAGGAGGCAGAATCATCTCAGCCATATTAAATTTTAAAATTTGGCAATCAGACCACGTGCGAGGAAAAGTTAAGCGGTTCGGCCCATGAGGTCATATATGTGTTTTTATAGACAGACCCGACTCCCGTTGATTCCCCCCCCCCCCCCGCTCCCTCCTTGGGGAGTTGAAAATGCAAACGATCTCGAAGCCGTCGTGCTGCAAAGTCAAGAAGCGCAAGGAAAAAGCAGGATGAGCGACAACACTGGCGACAACCGGCCTTGGAATTGACAATGAAGCTATTGAAGTGGTGAGGGACCTTCTTGTCTTAGAGGAACGACCAAAAGGAGTGAAGGAACCGGCTGTCAAGAAATATATCACAGGCTAATACCAGATGGAGCAGCTGTGAAGGTCTTGGAATGTCTGAGGGGCTCCTACGAAGACGAGTCCAAACTATTTTTCAAAGCACCAAAAAGCAAGAAGCAACGGATGGAAACTAACCAAGGAGAGAAGCAACATGGAATTAAGGAGAAACTTTCTACCGGGGAGAACAATTAACCAGTGGAACTCCTTGCCTTCGGAAGTTGTGGGTGCTTCATCACGGGAGGGTTTTAAGTAGAAACTGGACAGTGACTTGTCTGGAATGGTATAGGGCCTTCTGCTCAAGCAGGGGGTTGGACTAGAAGGCCTCTAAGGTCCCTTCCAACTCTATTATTCTATCAGGGCTCCAGCATCCACCCCTGTTCAAATCATGTGTCTCTACCCGCATCTCTCAGAGTTTAAAGAAGATTTATGAGGAGTGAACACGCCAGTGCTATACCTGGGTATAGCTGACTCTGAGACACACCATTCATTTCACCTTTGACCCTGGTCTTCCCCACACCCCTTGGATGTATATTCTCCAATGAGACACATCCATAGCCGGGAGTCATCAATCGTGTACTCCAGTAATAATCTTGTGCGCCAGAAGCTTCGGTCGCTTAGAAATTATCTAAGGAATGCACTACTTCCCCCAGTCTCTTTCTGCTGGCAACTCTAAAAGACCAGAGAAATATTTTTGAGTTGACAAAACAGACCAGATGCTGAGAGGCTGGGATGGGTCTGTTCCTACTATAACTGGAATGACATATAAGCTATGATCGTCCCGCTGACCATCGATGGAAGCCAACGCTGGATTTTAGAATACCAGAATAACAGAGCTGGAAGGTCTTCAAGTCCAACCCCCTGTTTAGGTAGGAAACCCTATAGTATCATTTCAGACATAGGGTTGCCCAATCGCTCAAAAACCTCCAAAGATGGAACACCCGGGGAATCCCGGCCCAGCTGATCGTATGTACAGCTGATTGTCGGGAGGGGAAAAAAAGAAAGAAATATCTTAGGCGAACCTCAGGCGGGCGGAGTGAGCGAGCATCGGGCGGGAGGGCGACCGGGTCAGGGGTGTGGCCAGGCAGAACTTACTACTGGTTCGGCGACCCATGCCAAATCCTTGCTACCGGTTTGTCTGATCCGTTGCGAACCGGCTGAATGCCACGATTGGTTCCACTGGTTAATTATTCTCTCAGTCAGGAAATTCCTCCTTAGTTCTAAGTTGCTTCTCTCCTTGAGTAGTTTTCATCCGTTGCGTCTTGCTCTGCCTTCAGGGGCTTTGGAGAAGAGCTTGACTCCTTCTTCTTTGGGGCAGCCCCGCCCCCCCTCAAACATTGGAAACTGGTATCATGTCATTCCTAGTCTTTCTTTTTGTTAGACTAGACACAGGAATAGCACTTAGACTTATATACCGCTTCACGGTGCTTTTACAGCCCTCTCTAAGCAGTTTTACAGAGTCAGCAAATTGCCCCCAACAATCTGGGTCCTCATTTTATCCACCTCGGGAGGATGGAAGGCTGAGTCAACCTTGAGCCTGGTGGGATTTGAACAGCCGATAGTCAGCAGAAGGTTGACTCAGCCTTCCATCCTTCTGAGGTGGGTAAAATGAGGACCCAAATTGTTGGGGGCAATTATGCTGACTCTGTAAACCACTTTGAGATGGCTGTAAAGCACTATAAAGCGGTATATAAGTCTAAGTGCTATTTTAAGATGGGTGGACTTCAACTCCCAGAATTCCCCAGCCAGCATACTTCAAGAGATGTGGACTTCCACTCCCAGAATGCTCTAGGCAGCATGCTTTAAGGCAAGGGTCTTCAAACTTGACAGCTTTAAGGCTTGTGGACTTCAACTCCCAGAATTCCTGAGTTAACATGACTGGAGAAGGAATTCTGGGAGTTGAAGTCCACAAGTCTTAAAGCTGTCAAGTTTGAAAACCCCTGGTTTAAGGCTTGGGGACTTCAACTCCCAGAATTCCTCCAACTGGGAGAATTCTGGGAGTTAAAGTCCACCCATCTCAAAGTAGTGGAGATGGAGAAACAGTGGTTTAGGTTGTTATTATAATACAACCCTTGGAGACATCCTTAATACAGATACTCCACGATTTACAACAGTTCATTTAGTGACCGTTCAAAGTTACAATGGACTTATGACTGTTTTTCACATTTATGACCATTGCAGCATCCGCATCATCATGGGATCATAATTCAGATGCTTGGCAACTGACTCATATTTATGACCACTGCAGTGTCCTGGGGTCACGCGATCCCCTTTTGTGACCTTCTGACAAGCAAACTCAATGGGGAAGCCAGATTCACTTAACGACCGTGTGGCTAGCTTATCGACTTCAGTGATTCACTTAACAACGGTGGCAAGAAAGGTTGTAAAATGGGCCAAAACTCACTTAGCAAATTCCTCAGTGAACCACAGAAACGTCGGGCTCAATTGTGGCCATAAGTCGAGGACTACCTGTTACTTACGACCGTTGCCGTGTCCCAAGATCATTTGTGA